TACTACTTTCTTTTACTACTTCTGTGTTATTACTACTTCTAATACCTGTAATCTTCTTTGTCGTCTATCTTTTTCGCCAGTAGAAACTGCCGGTTCTTGATCACGTGACTCCCGTGATGCGAAAAAAGTGTTTCCATTGCAGTTTTGCGAAAAACACTAATTTCGATACGGCCGAAAAACCACCTCATCCTAGCACAAAAACATTTTGTCGAAAAACGTAATTTTTTTTTTTCGAAATTGACGCGTTTCCACTGAGCAAATTTATTTTCGAAATTCTAATTTGCGCATTTTCATGGTCAAAGGAAATGCAACTTGACTTGTTATATGACACCATGCAGTGTTGAAAGAAGTTTTCTGAAAAGCCCCGCCCTCTTCCACCTCATGTCAGACAGACCAGTATTTTCTCAGCAAGGAATGCTGGGTAATCTTGTAGAAATGATGTGTTTGTATGTTTATGACTATTAAAGAAGTTCATGAGTGTAAAAATTAGTTGATTAGTTTTCTTGTTCAGTTTGATCAAGATGTTCAAGTTTAAGTTTGTGTTATTGGCGACAAATCAACACCATGAGTGAGAGGTATGTCCTGGTGTGTGAAGGTCGACTCCATTATACTTTTCTACTAATTTATCACATTGTGGGTGATAAATTAACACTGGCATTTTTGCTGCGTACGAACATCACATCATGCATTTTTTTGTGGACTTGGAGGAGGCTGGCCTTGTCCCTGAAAGGACACAAAAAGTTTGTTGTGCTCATAGACAAGAGTTTTCAAGACAGAGTCATCTAGAGGAGTTCAAGTATTTTGGTAACTTCTTTACAAGTGATGACAGGATGAAGTGAGAGATGGACAGACTTTATAGAGCTTTATCTGCAGTAATGAAGACGCCGCTCCATTCGGTCACAGTAAAGGAGCTTAGCTGATATTTACTGGTCCTTCTTTGGTCCAACCCTCACGTATGTTCATGAGCTATAGATGATAACCAAAAAGGAGCAAAATCCCAGACACAAACTGAAATCAGCTTCTTACAGGGTGGTCAGATTTAGCCTTAAAGGGGCTATATCATGTAAAATCAACTTTTTTGAGTTTTATATCATGTTATGTTATACTCTCATAAAAAAACATGCCCAAAGCCTTGCTTTGACTCATTCATGCATGTTTGAGAAATCCTGCAGCGTTTTTAGGAWGCCATGCTGAGGAGCAAAACAACAGGTGGGGACCAGAAACGCCTTTTTGTACCACAAACGCCCCTGGGACGTGTATTTAAGCTGAGCTTCCTCATGGCAGAGCACCCCCCACACACCCCGCCCATGACTCCTGCAGGTTCTCGGGTGAAAAACTGAAAGTGAAAATTAAACTGTCTTCTGAACTTAACATTAGTTCTCACTCAGTGAAGCTCTTTTCAGATTAAAAATACATTTGAGGAAATGTATTTTCAGATGCCAAGTAAGCTGCATCATAGCAGTGTGTTTGCATTAAGAGCCATTTCGATGTGGGCGGGATCACAATACAAACACGTCTTGGTTTTATTTGCAACAACAATAAGACTACACTAGACACGGAGAAAAAGTACTGAAGGCTGWACCGGACCATCCAACAGTATGAWGTTTAAAATGAAAGGGCACTACGACAGAATGGTAAGCTAATGGTAGCTAATGTTAGCTTGTTATTGTTTAGCAAAAGTGAGGGTTTGTGCAAAAAGGCCTCATGTTTCCTGGGAGTATTTTGGGGGTCAGCCAGGAGGAGTGGTAGAGCAGTACTGTGGAGAGTGATGTCTTGGTTTCTCCTTGACCTGTTGTCTCTATAAGTCAACTTCTGTTCAGCAGTTGAAAATGGTTGATTAGATGAAGAAAAAAAAAWGACTGACAATTTTTCAGGACTGTAGAAAAGGTGCATATCTGTAAATAAATAATCAATTACCAAGTAGGAAAATGAAATTACAGCAGTAGCTACAGCCAGCTCGTTGTAGCAGCATCATTTATTCTATCGTTCTGTCCTGCATTTTGGGGTTGAGGCTCGAAGGAAGATTGAACAAACTCAGACAGGAACTGAAGATGCACTCAAGACACATTCTGAGGGATAGGAGTGGGATGTTTGTGTCTACATCTGTCCTGGGTTACAAAGAAAGACCATCAGACACAAGTTCACACAAACAGCAACAAGTTCTGAATGAAAATTGCAAAAGATTTTAAAAATTCARTTTGTGCAGAAGTATATGGATTTTTAGCTTTACAACTCGGCTCAAGTGTTTGCTTCTAACACAATGGCTTCAAATAGTCAGGAAAATAAAAACATAAACATAAAAAACAACATCCTCCCATATGTGCCCGTGCTTGGAGAAGGATTTTCTCCAAACACCAGATCATAGTACACTTCAAACCTAACAACACCCTCAAACAAAACCCCACAGGATAAAAAAAAAAAAAAAACGAAAGCTGAGCTGCGTCCAGTGCAGCTACGAGTGCTCAGACCTTTGTATAGGGGAAACTACAACCACTTCCTTCACAAGCGTGTGGCACAAAAAGAAGAGCCAAACCCCCAGGTCAAGACTTAGCTGCCCACCTACATCCCAAGCAGAAAGAAAACTCGTTTGAAGACAGTGGAGTCCACATTCCTGACAAAGACAAATGGTTTCAAAATATGTTCAATGGGAAAAAACAGCATTAAACAAACAAGCAATTCTACTCTTGCAATGCAGCCTTGACTGTCCTCTGGATAGTTTTAAAACAAATTCAATCTCAAATCAGTTGACCAAAGCATCCTGGATGTTGGACGGGAAGGTAAATGTTTTACGAGATTAAATTTTTACTTCTTTCTGTGCCTTTTCCACTATTCACACCTTCATCTTGTTTTTCTTCAGGGTTGAAGAGGCATTCACATAGACCATGTGGTAGTTCTATTCACTGCAGGGTTTTATTTTATATTCTGTACTACCACACATGCATTAATGTATATATTTATAAATGCATGAGGCCTTTGTAGTTCAGTGGGTAAACAGTTCACTAATCATGAGGTCAAAGTCATTGATAAAAGTGAACTCCTGATGAAAAGTGTTGATATTTTGCTAATTTCAATCTATTTTTCCTTCTGTTCATAGCCACTTCTTTCCAGTCTTCGCAGTCAACCAAGGACTCGGCCCAYCTAGACCAGGTAGGCCTTCGAAGGACGAAACCCCTGAATTTGGACACAGCCCTAATCAGTCTTAGGAGGAATGCGCATCATTAGCTGCGTTTCCATTGACCATGAAAATGCGCAAATTAGAATTTCGAAAATAAATTTGCTCAATGGAAACACGTCAATGTCGGAAAAAAAATTACATTTTTCGACAAAATGTTTTTGCGCTAGGATGAGGTGGTTTTTCGGTCGTATCGAAATTGTTTTTTTTGTTTTTTTTTCGCGAAACTGCAATGGAAATACTTTTTTCACATCACAGGAGTCATGTGATCATCAACCGGCTGTTTCTACTGGCGAAAAAGACGACGATGAAGACGATAACAGGAAGTAGTAGTAAAATCATCGAAGTAGTAAAAAAGTAGTAAACTCACCGACTACAATTTCGCAAAAACACAGCATACGTAGCCGCTCCCAAATAGGGGCTTGTTGCTGGAAAGCCTTGATAAAAGACGCCGACATCTCCTCTGATGATGAGCGCTAGTGTCGCGGTAGCAACATGCTATGTGTTTACATCCATTGCCGCCATGTTTGTAGTGACTTATCGCGAGACCAAACATATTCACGTGTGACTTTAATAGCATTTCTTACTGAATGGAAACACTGCAGTTGCGAAACTGTTTTTCGACATTAACAGAATATCAACAAAATTTTGCGCACATTTGCAATGGAAACGCAGCTATTGAAAAGTCATTTTGGTCAACCTTGAAAAAGATTGTGTGTATTCTCATGTAATTTTGCAACAAAATAAAAAATAAGTAAATGTAAAACTTAGCCATTTTTGTGTTGGTTAATATTGAGTAGCAGTGGCAGCCACCTCAAAGTAAACCGACTCTAAAATTTAACAATTGTAAATGTACATCTAATGATTACTTTCTGCAAGTATTTATTAAGATTTTTCCAGTGGTTTATGAGATATTTTAGTAACAGACTCACAAACAAAAAATATATATTTTATTATCACCCGCCTCTGCTTTTTATAGTAGCTATTGCTAAACATAAGTACAGACAAGTTGCAAATAAACACAAAATTAGTCTGTGTACTCATGCTAAACAGAAAGACCGTGACGCTGCACTGAACATGAACAAACAGTTAATGAGGTGTTATATATGGCACATTAGCTAACAGACGCAGACACACACACAGAAACATACATACACTAACAATAATCTATAGCAGCGTCCCTCCCCTCCTCTGAGCCTGAATGCACCGCTTTGTGACTTCATATGTCGTTGGGAGCCTCAACTTCAGCAGAGCACCAAACAAAGCGGCCGTTAATAGCTAACGAGCCACTTGGTAACCTCCCACCACCAAAAGGCACAAACAGGCACACACACATACAAACGCACACCTTTAATGACATCTTTTCTGCGGCACATTAGCTATTGTGCTGTAATTAATGGGAGGGTCATGGCGCTCAAAAAGCCAGACTTCTCTCTGCAGACTAAGAGCTATACACCACAACAATGGCTTAATGAGTAAACACACCGTGTGTCTCATGAATAAATTATTTGCGCCTCGCAATTAATTTTCCCTATTGAAGTTTGGCTTTTTTCTTCCAAACTGTTACTGGTCTTCATAAATCAAAATAGGGAGAAGGGGGGCATGACAACAATTTTGTGTGTGTTTAAAATCAACTGCAATATTTTTGTACCTTTATATCTGTGTTTGCGTTAGTGTGTGTTTTTAATGAAACTGTTTTTTCCAGGTTTTTTGGTTTCAAGTTGTGTGCAAGGGCTTTTAAGAGTATTTTACACATTTTAAACTCATTCAGGTTTTTTGTTTGAGTTTTTATTGGCCAGTTGTGGAGTATGTAACGTATGTAACTTACAGAGAGAAGCTTCCACGTTATTGGTCGAACCTGCCGTGGGATTCCAGACCAGCTGAGTTTCCGTAGTTCTTCTGCAAGACATTAACAAAAAAAMAACAACATAAGAACCTATTTATTCCACAAAATGTCATGAAATCTCTTCGGTGAAACTTTACAATTGTTTACAAGTTTTAATCACAATCGGTCAAGTTATTATTCCTAATGTTTGGTATGAAAATTTGACATTCATTACAAATACGTTTCCTTTTGTATACTTCAGCTCTACGGCATTTTTGTGATGTTTGAAAGGTTGCGGTTTCCTTTAACATGGAAATGAAGTCAGGTGGGGCTGCAATGATGCTCTGCACCACTTTGGGGAGGGTGTACAATGTACAGTGTTATTGACTGCATTGGTCCCAGTGGTTTTTGGTGCAGTTTGTTCTCCCAGTTTACTGGTGGTTTGTTCATAAAACGTTCAACTGAGCCAATAAGAAGTGAATGAAGCACAACCGCCAATCCTTTGGAGAATGTGGCTCGTAAAATTTTTGCTGCACCTCATAAAAATACACAGTAACAAATTAAAAACATAGTAAAATTTAAGTTTGGACAAGCTTGTGGTAAAACAATGGTAACAAAAAGGTAAGTTTGTTTTTCTGGAAATCTGGATTTGCCACTATTGCCATGAATGCATTTTATACTGGTGATTTTTGATTCTAGTCTCAATCCAAGTGCTCACATAAGTCCTAAATATCCTACATAAATCCTCTATAATGGACCACCTTTCTCTAGCCTGACTGCATACTAAATGAGTCAAACCAACCAACCAACCATATCCTCGTCATCTAAACGTCCATTCCTGTGTGTCTTTTCTCATATTGAATATATATGATAGGTTAGAAGTGGACTATTAACTACTTTTTCCCCTAGGCTGGATGTGGGAGCCCGCAGGCTATATTGCAATATGAATCTGATGGAAAGGTGCAAATTAAACTTTTAAATTGGTGGAGAGTAATCCCCTTTGGCTCCACGAAGACCCAGAAAATATGGCTTAATGCAAGGAGTTAGCCAGCCAATATATATTCGGTTAAACACCCACAAAGGCAGCATATGATGAGGGAGTGTGGGTTTAGCAGGAAAAAGTACTTGGGCTTGTGTTATTTTTTTAAGCATACTGTTTTTTTTTGATTTTGTGCCGTTTTCGGTTAAATGAACAAACTGTACAAATGAGATGTATGATCTAATTTCACAACACCAAAAGAGGTCATGTTATCAAAGCTTTTGTATGTAGGAGTACTTTGGGAAATAWTTTTGGTTCAGAGCTCAAAGTTAATCTTTGTAAAATGAAGTCTCCACCTGCTGTACAGATAGAAAAAAAGGTGAATCTGACTTGCTTTTGATCTCATTTTCCTTTAATCATAGAACCTACTTTTGTTTTGTTTTTTTTACCAATATAGATTAAAGCTCATTGGTGATGTGTACACTAAGGCAACAGTACAGTGAAATGTGTGTTTTAGAAAAGTTTGCACAATCAGGTCAAGAGTATAAGTTGGTGAAGTAGGATTAAGTGTCTGCGTATAAAAGTTAGATCACTCTATTCCACTGTGAATAAGTACATAACGATACTACATAAATATTGTAGTGGGTGTGTCAGACAGAATAGCAGTATCACACAATGGAAGTGCAAGGGTATGTGAAATATAAATAAAATATTAATACCGTCTCACTTTTCTGTATCTGGTTTATTTGGATATGTGACTGTGAAAATGTCACAGTATTGTCTCTATACAAAGTTGAAACTTGTGATTTCTTGCAAAGCCAGGTTGCCAACAATTTATTAGCAGTGTTGTAAAACAGAATACCAAAAGTAACCCAACAATTACTTTACGAATTCTCCAGCTATGCAGTGAAAATGCTCCTTTTGAACTGCTATGGTATTGTGGGGTACTTTAATGAATAATGGGCATTGGAGTTTGTTTTTTAGCCGTCCTGTCAGACTACACATCAATGGTGTATTTCGTTGTGTTCTTGACATATGTACTGCATAAATACTGGAGTATATGCAGCAAAAGTACAAATAGTCAAATGTGTACAAATAAAATATCAACTTGTCATTTACTCAACAAACATGGGACTTGAAGAAATTGATGGTTTGGTTACCAACAAGTTCAGCCAGCACAGAGAAACAGTGAGCACTGGGAAGAATACCCAGAGTGAAACCATGGCTAAATGCTAATAAAATAATAACATCTGAGAAAAATTTTTTTGAATTTTGCCTGAAACTCTCAGACTGAAGAAGTCTCTTGGAGAAGAGACGAAACATTTCATTAGAGAAGAACACGTCCAGAAGACCTACACAATTTTTTTCTTTTTGATTTTTTACCTGGATTACTGAGATGCATCAAGACGAAATAACATTTGAGCATCGCAAAAGGCCTTGTGGAAAAATTTAACACCAGATACATTACGTTACAGTATTTTGTTGTTTACTGACTACCTTCTTCCATCCAACAATATGATAGCTAAAAGCTTCCTTCCTTTTTTAAGAACCTAAACTTTCCCAGARCTGCATTCTTCACAGACAAGGAAACCTTGAGGAGCAAAAACAGCAAGTGCCCTCTTCTTCCAAGATCAAAGAATTTTAAGATATTGAAGATCTTTGATTTTGGGCATCGTATAAGTATTTCTTAAGAGCAGGCAGTTCTCGAAGGGGTTTGCGCCAACATTAACTCATCTATTATTCACCAATACGTCTCCCTCTGCCCTAAAAGTATAAAACACACATTAACATTCAACAGGACGAGTTGCCACTGCAAACCTGATGCAGGAATAAAAATGCAATATAAATCTTTTTTGTAACTGTACTGCCACTATTTTACCTGCAATCCTAAAGCTATGAYRGAGTGAAAATTGATTTAGTTGTAAATGAAATGGCAGTGYCCAACATGCTTTCTACAGTTTAAAAAAAATAAAAAGGGTGAAAAAGCCTAAAATGTTTCTAATGAATAAGTCAAATTCTTTCCAACTCTTATTCAAGGCACTGGCTAGAAATTGATAAGCCCTTCGCACAGAGCGAACAGTATTGATTAGTGCTGCCAAATGACTCTGCCTTGCCTGTTCTTCAAGGCAAATGCAATGTAGACCCAGTGACAGATAACAGAATAGGAAATAGCAGTGGGCTAAGTCCATTGGCCAAATTGAGTGAAACACATTAGAGCTTGTTCAACTGATGAGAGTACCTAATTATTCACTAAAGTTCCTGCGCATCTTCCACTTAAATTTTTTTTCTCCTTACCTTGTCCCCAGTGACTTTAATTATATAGAACATCAATAGAGTGATCTAGTACACAGCATGGCTCTGTTAACTCAAGAGGAGTCAGTGTGCCACAGAGTGGGATGTTTTAAATTACCCCAAGGCTACCTTTAAASCAGAAAGTCCCATTTAAAAACAGAAATACAGAAAAAGTTCTCCCAGACATGACAGACTACACACAAACACTGTAAATATRCTCTTTGTGCTCCTCGGGTCTTCAACAACTGAAAACGCATACAGGCAATATAACGTTTTATAACAATTATACCAAATATAAAACGTTATACATTTGCTCTGTTTGTGTTTTCACAGGGTTCCATTGTAAGAAATATTAAAGACTATTATTCAAATGTGACTGTCACTTCTTTTTGGAAGGTTGGTTACTCAAACACAGCCGGCCACAAAGCAGTAAGGATGTATCAATACCAGTTTCATACTGTGTGCATGTATTTGTACTCAAAAAAGTATAGATGCACCGATATGAAAATTTCAACCAATTTCGATTTCGTAAAAAATGACCAGACCACTGACGTGTTAATAATGGCTCAGTTTTACGTATCGGACCAAAGCTGATATGTGAAAAAATAACCAATACTGATGTTAATGCCAATATATCATGCATCCCTACAAAAAAAGTACTCAAAGTTGTTTGCTAACCACCAATGAACACTGTTAGAAGAATAAGCCGAGTGATGGCATCTCAAAGTAAACAATAATAAAAGTTAAGCAAACTGAAAATTATGCTTAGCAATGTTTTCAAGTAGTGTGAAATGTAGAAATTTCAAGCAGTTTGATAAAATATCTTAAAACAAACACAACATTGGATTTAAAGGCAATAGAAAAGCAGCAGGAAACTGCCATTGTCTTACTGAACAAAAGTAGCACTGGGAAAATTAAAATCTACGATCACTGAAAGGCAAACACTTCAAAAAAAGATGCAGCTCTTGTGAGGCGATATTGGCAACTTTCATCAATGACGAAACCGTGCGTCATTTTAAAAGTTGCTAGATTTGCTGTTAATTGGGGGGAAAAGTTGCTGAAGCAGTTTTAAAACTCGAAGTTCAATCAAAAGACAKATGCTGCTAACGCTGCTTTGACATACCATCAACATTTAACTGCAGTTATGTAGGAACCACTTGAAGCAGGCTATATGGATGGAAATGCTATCCAGTGTATACCCTCACATTTATTATGCTCCTTACAGCCTGTCAAGGGTAGCTCTGCTCTCGCCTYGCACCCTTTGAACCTTCATTTGCACTGTCAGACAAAGAAATGAGTTCATGAATCTTGGTGGCTCAGGCCTAATTAAACTACGTTATATTTCACCTACCTGGCATTAATCTCACCAAAAGGAGTAAAGCGAGGAGGTGCGATGAGGCATTAGTTGGCCRATCCTCTCGATGCTGTAGATTTCAGAAAGCTACTTCCCTTTTGGTTGAACTTTTGTACAGTTAGAATTACTTTTTTTGTTAGCAAGACTGAGGATATGGCGTCTAACAATGCTCTTTGCAAAAAAAATGGTTTTATTTGCCTAATAACCAAACTTTAGAATTGAAACAAGACTTTATTTAACTTTGCTGTATTGCCGTGTGTTCTAACTCCTAACTGCTGACGATATAGCTTTACACACCTCCAGTTTCTAAGAAGGCATTTCTGAGGAAAAACACTTCATTTGCCACAGTGGGCAGAGACAGAGAGGGCAACATGAGCATAGCTGACGTACAGGCTAAATTGCAGATGTCGTTTCATTAGTGTGAGACTTGCTCATCTCTCAGAAAACAT